TTTTGGGTCGGATCACGAAGCACCCATCCGTTACAGTTGGTATCAAAGCCAGAGCCAGTCCTTGATCTGGTGTCACACCAAGCGCCCCGGCCCGGAGGGTGTCCAGGTTTGCACCCCGGGTAGTTAGGTGGCCCGAGCCGCAACAAGGGCGTTGCAAATTCGGGTGGGGGAGAATGTAACAAGGGGGAGCTTGTCCTACATCAGATAAGGATGGAAAAGTGAATGGGTATATATGGGTTGGGTGTTCGCCCCACCTAATAACTTAAGCTTTTGGGTCAGATCGCGAAGCACCCACCCGTTACACCACCCCTCCCCTTCCCACTTGGTTACAACACTTTCCACCTCATTCAACAGGACCTAATGCATTTTTACCTGAATTGTCAGTGGATATGAGTATTGATTTAGATTTTTATGTGAAGTGCTTGTCACCTAATCGAGACACCTATGAGCCTCCCCTATTTTGTCAGCATTTGTTCCTACAAGTGAAACTGCATATTCTTAAACAACAGCATCAGTACCTACTGCAATTCAACCACACTTCCAGATTGATGATCCTTAACCATAAGAGCAACTAATCTTGGAAATATGTATCACTATTTTATTCGATGGAAAGGTCATCCAAATTCAAATGCCATAATAAAGTAGTATCACCGGCTTCTCTCTCCGGAGGAGAGTTTTGGAGATTGATGCAGATCGTAGGGTGCTCATGTTCAGGCTAGGCGGTGACCTAAGGCTGGCTTACGCACCTTTGCTAGTTGTAGGCGGCTGGATGGCGACAGTAATATTTTTGTGTCTGACAATGATATTTTGTCCTGTTTTGATGGTGATATTTTGTTTTCTTAGTTGTTAAGGAAACTTTTTTTGATAGGGCTGCAACTCGGGCAGGTTGAAGGCTCAAATCAGGGTCAAGCCAAGATATGAAAACTTCAAACTTAACCCAACCAAACCCTACCAGGAAACCATCAACCCGATCTACTCAACCCAAGCCCAACCCATCCTTAATTTTTTAAGTTCAGGTTGAATTCAGGCTTGAAAATTGGGCTAAATTTTCATGTGGAATTCAAGCTTCCAACTCAATTTAGGTTGTTGTAATAACAAATGAAATAACTTTAACCTTTTCACAACTAAAACAAATAAAGATATTGGCATAACATAATAGCAAATGGATCAAAAGCTAGTAAGTTCAAAGGATATGATATAGTCTATTGCATATATGCTACAACCACGTGAACCCACTAAATAACCAATCACATGCAACCAACACAAATATATACATATATAATAATAATAATAATATATATATATATCAGGTTGAGCGTTCGGTTTTGTCAGGTTTTGTAATTTAGGACGGGCCCGGGTTAGGCTTCGGATTGCCAGACACCATAACCATAACCCGACCCTGACCCCGAAATGAAATTGGGTTCTTATTTTTCAACCAAGCCGGACCAAATTGCGATTTACACAACCCAAGCCCAAAATTATTCGGGTTGCAGCCCTACACTTTTATTACTATAAATAGGATATATATATAACAGATATGGAGAGTTTTGATTAAAACTTGAATTATTGAGGACCCAGAGTTTTCTCCCCTTTTCTTCTTTCCCAGTTCTTGCTTTTCTCTGCCCTCAAACAGTCTAACCTATCTATTCAATCTATCTTCTCATTCCGTTCATCTATTTCCCTCCCCTTTTCTTCTAGCCTCATCTCATTTTCTCATTCTCATCCCCTTCTTTCATTCTCATTCTGAATATGTATCAAAGCACCACTACCCATAATAGTATTGAAGTCTATATTTTTAGTCTAATATTGTTTCTGATTTTTATGTCTTTATTATAATGAAAAGATCAAATACCGAATCCAGGTATTCAATTGGATTGGAATATATAATATCATAAGTGTAAAGTGCAAAAAAAACCCTTGAACAATGTTTGAATTTGCAAATACCCCTCTGAGCTATATTTTGTGCATAATACCACCTAAACTATCATATTTTGTTGCAAAATACCCCAATGCCTATACTATATTTCATTAAATGACCATAATGCCCTTACTGAATTAGTTAATCATCTTCTATTACACTGCAAAGTGACAGCGGATGTTTGGAGTATGGTCCTGAATGTTTTTGGGGTTGAGTGGGCCAGGCGGGTTAGAAAAGCATGGAGGGTAATCCCTCTTTGTGTATGGTGGGGGTTGTGGTACGAGCGGAACAGGAGATCTTTCGATGGAAAGGAGTCGCCGGCGTGGGTTATTAAGTCGAATATTTTGCATTCTCTTTATTTTTGGGTTATTGGGACAGTTTTTTGGATTTTGTTGACAACTAATCGTTGTAATGGTGTTTTTTGTTTGCTTTGTTAACTCCCCTTTGAGCGCTTCTGTTAATATTCATTTACTTATCAAAAAAATTAAAATGCCCTTATTGAATTAGACTTAATTTAATTTTCTTATTGAAATAAATTATGAAAAATTCATACTACTTTGATGACATTCTCCATTAAATTTGCATAAATTTTTGAAATTATTTGTTTAAATAAAAATATTTAGCAGAAAATTTTTTTAAAAATTTAAAAAATTTTAAATTTTTCATGAATATATATTACATGAAAAAAAAAAAAAAAGGAAGTATTTCTTATTTAAATCATTTATTAACTTTTCATCAATATATCATATGAAAATTAATATCGTTCGGCTCCTAAAAACCGTGGTCCCTTCCAAGTGCGGAAAGGAAGGTGAATGTCGGGCATGCCAGGAACTGTTGTCGTTCCAAAGTGGATATCCAAACAATTATCCAGTTAGAGATTGCAGAGATCAGGCGACTGTACGAAGGACTGGAATTACCACCTTCGGAGGTTCTTTTTGCATTGCAAAAGGACTTCTCGACTACTCTATGGCTAGTGGAAAGAAATGCGGTATTGAAAGTGCAGGACTTCAAGGTAAAGTGCTGGAAAGTAAGAATAATAAGTGCAGGACTTGAATTAAACATATTGAAGGTGCATTACATGAATGTAAAGATACATGAAATGTAATTGAAAGATAAGGTGGTGTTGGTTGTGTGTGTTGAACAGGGTTTGCAAGTGAAACCTAAGTGCTCTATTTATAGAGCTTTCCATGCATGCGGCTTGGTATATAGCAGCCTTAGCAACTTCCACTTGTATTGATTTCGAACTGCCAAGTGTCCCATGTTCTCTTGGCAGTTGTAACTTCTTCCTTCCATCTTCTTCTATCATACCTTCCACTCTGTCTTCCACGATTTCTTATTCCCTTTCTTCTGCCGTAAATATCTTCCCCTTCAGACACGATTTAATTAGCCTTGCCATCCATGATTTACGACAACTTCCCTTCAGTTAGTGGTAGCAGTTGCATGAAATACCACCACCTTCAACTGACGTATTCTTGTTTGGCCAAGTGTCCCACGATTCTTATAATCCCTTCCTTCTTTAGAATCCTTTTTCTCCTCTAATTCCATATATACATGCATGTATATAGGAATTATTACATACCCACGCTCCCTCTATCTTTGGGTAACTTCCTTCTGGTTATACTTTCCAAACTAGTCTCGGCTTTCATGGCATCATGGTTCCTTCTTTCTAGCAACATCTTCATCGTGGGTTGCATATAATACAAATATATATATATATATATATATACCCATAAATATGTGTGGTCCCACTTCCCTTTTCTTTAGCAACATCGCCGATTTAGCTAAGATAACTATTGAGGCTTCCTAAGATTTAGGAGAAATTCCAGCCCACGTTCTCCTTCTTCTGACCTGGTCAACTCTTCGTGTTGTAGAATGGAAAACCTTCCTTTTACTTAGGATTACGCAATCATAGTTTTCTCCATGAACCTTCCAAAATACCAACTCTTAAAAGAATTGATCTACTGCGGTTAGCACCATAGTAAGCTTAGTAGAACTCGTCATGTGTGGTAAAATTCATTCCATATATGAAGATGTGGGCCCTTGCTTTAAAGATGGCAAGTCCTAATTGGACTTGCCTCTTTCCTTCTAGAATAGAAAATTTTACATAATAAGACTATGGTAGGTCCACTTATTCCTTGCTTCCACATGATATCACGTAATTTAAACACTCAGAATGAATTTTTCCAAAGTTGCGATCCGGCGTAGCAAGTTCCATTGGAATTCACCACATACCTCCTCCTTATTGGTGGATAACACAACATCAATCTTCAGTAATACCATATTATGCTTCCTCTTTTGGACATTAAAGTACCAATCCAGTGTGGCCAGTTCATTGAAACTCGCCACATGTCGCCTTTCCATTGGGCAAAAAATTATGGAGTAAACAAATATATTTTTTTATGATAAAAAAGGTTAAACTGATTATAATAAGTTTTATTATAAATAATAAAAACTTTAATAATAAGTTAATCATTTTAGAAAATGGTAGTTACAAATCTATTTATCTTTTTTTCATTTTTTTGATAAATTGATACTTATAATAAAATTAAGGTAAATGGTATAATTAATACTTATAAAAATATATATATTTAGATAAGAAAAAAAAATTTAATAAGAAATGAAAATTTTAATGAGAAAGGGCAAAATAGTCTTTTGCAAAATGTCCTTAATTGCAACAAATCAATAGTTCAGGGGGACAGTTTTTAGTTCGAGGGGGTTATTTGCAAAAGGACAATAGTTCAAGGGGTTTTTTTGCACTATACCCAATATCATAATAATGGTAGAAATGGAATCATGGTTCCACTCTGCTAAAACTCCAAATCATTCTCTTGAGCTTTTGCACCTTTTGTTAATCCATGAACAGAATTTTTAATATGAAAATATAGGAGAAAAACCCTACACCTCAGACCTCGTGTCATAAGTATGTTTCAAGATCTGGGGAATAATAGAGGTTCTTCATACCTTCCTGACAGTTTACAGGACAGATCAACTTGATGTTCATTCAAACCACCAAAGTGCTCCAAAAATCACTCACTCCATCTTCCACAACTGAGAATCAAATCTCAAGTGAGAGATGTCTTACCTCTGACAAAATTCCAGGATTGGTAGCCCCTCCAATGTAGTTCAGGAGCAAAATCCTTCCAGGCGGTGCTCGATTAGGAAAAAGTGATGAACTGTATATAGTTCCTGCAGGATCCAATAAAACAAACCAGCTGATTAAATTGAATTTTAGATACCTCTCTAGACAAACATTCAGGGTAGGATATAGACAGAATTAACTACAGTTGCAAATAAAAATGCAGATTTACCTAAAGTTTCCACCCCTTGACTACGCGGATGCAACTGGCCAAACCCCTTTAGATCACCATCCATCAAGCATTCACTACGAACTGCCTCTTTTGGATATGAAATGGATACTGCTGCAACCGGTGGATAATAAAATTTTGATAGTGCATCTGCAGCAGCAGCCTGCACACAGGCAAAGAAGAAAAAAGTTAATTGGAAATTCTGTTCCAAACTAAAAATTTATGGAGCTGGAACAATGCTTACATTTAATAATCTGCTCATTGCCCAGAACCATTTTATTGTATATTTCTCAAAAACCAAGATTTTACATTTGAATAACTTGGGGCTTGAAACTATCAGGTGCTACTTCGATTTTTATCAGAAACTAAGTCCTTCTAAAAATATACTCCCTCTGTACCATATTAATTGTCCATTTTTTGTATTAGAACTTTTTAAGGGGAGATGCAATTAATGCATTGTCCCCCTTTTTTTTTTTTTTTTTTTTTTTTTTATAAATAAGCAAATTCATTCAAAAAACGTTCAAAAGGGGAACGTGTCCCATAAACAACAAATGGATCCTAAGGTCCCAAAGAAGAAATAAAATCAATCATCTCCTCCGAGGAGGAACAAAGCCTACCCGAACCCCAAAAACATAAAGATGAAATAAAAACCGACTTAAGAACAACAATCGAGGATTCCTTTCCTTCAAAGGATCTATTGTTCCGCTCCCTCCACAAACACCACCATAAACACAAGGGCGCCATCCTCCAAAACCCACGAGCATGACCTCCCACATAGCACCCTCTCTAAGCCTCCATCAAACCTCTCGTAGATCGAGGCATAACCCACAAAACCCCAAACATTCCTAGCAAAAGACACCAACAGTCCAAAGCCACTGGACAATGCAACAGAAGATAATCCACCGATTCCCCATTGCACTTGCACATACAGCACCAATTAACTGTGATTTGTCTTCGCCTCCTCAAATTATCAAGCATCAAAATCTTGCCCCACACCACTGTCCAACTAAAGAACGCCACTTTGAGCGGCACCTTAGATCTCCACACTGTTTTCCATGGAAACATAATCCCTGTATTATCTGAGAGGCATCAGAAATATGATCTCACTTCAAACATTCCCCGAGAAGCCGGCACCCAAACAAGCGAATTTCTATCCCTGCCACGGATCTCATGCCGATACAAACGATCGAACAACCCGCAAATGTCGTCCAACTCCCAATCCTGAAACACTCGCACAAACCGCACATCCCAAGTATCCCACTATCAAGCCGATGGCAATCAGCAACCAAAACATGCCTATTAACAAAAATCCTAACCAATCTGGGAAATGCACAAGCAAGGGTACAATCACCACACCAAAGGTCCTCCCAAAACTGCACATCCCTACCATCCTGAACTCTGAATCTAATGTGTTTGGAGAACTCATTCCAACCTTTCCTAATGGATTTCCAAACTCCGACACCAACAGGAATCCTCACCAAACATGAGCACCATCCCCCCGTTTCTTCCCCAAACCGGCACAAAATAACCCTCCTCCACAACCTATGACGTTCCACTCCAAATCTCCACAACCACTTGCCAAGGAGAGCCCTGTTAAATGGCACGAACCTCCTTATCCCTGAGCCTCCAGCCTGAATCGGCCTACAAACCTGCTCCCACCGAACAAGATGATATTTATATTCTCCTTGAAGTCCACCCCATAGAAAAGTCCTCTAAAGCCTCTCAATCAAACTAGCAACCCCGGCTGGAGTCTGGAAGAGGGATAAAAAATAAGTAGGGAGGCTTGATAGCGTGCTTTTCAATAGAGTGACCTTCCCCCCCCTTTCGATAAATACTGCTTCTTCCACCATGCAAGTCTCCTCTGAACCCTCTCAATCAGCGGATCCCAAACACCCACAATCCTTGAAGAAACTCCCAAAGGTAACCCCCAAGTATGTAATCGAAAAACTACTGATTCCACATCCAAGCACAGAAGCTAACTCACCAATACTCTGCACCTACCCTACTGGAATCAAGGCACTCTTCCCTACATTCACTTTCAAGCCTAATACCGCCTGAAAACAAATCAGCACCGATCTCAGATACCTCATCTGGGACACCTCAGCCTCACAAAACACCAACGTGTCATCCACAAACAATAAATGAGATATCTCCATATGATGAACATCACCCACCCACTATGAACCCCTTAATAAAGCCCTACTCCACTGCCCTCCCCATCAACCTTCTAAGAGCCGCTATAACAATAATGAACAAAAAAGGAGACAAAGGATCCCCGTGGCACAAACCTCACGAGCTACCAAAGAAACCGGTCAGAGACCCATCAACCATCACCGAAAATCTGGCTGAAGATATGTAGGCCTCAATCCAACTCCTTCGTTTATCACCAAAACCCATTCTCTCCATCAAATACAACAAGAACTTCCAACTCACGTGATCATAAGCTTTCTCAACATCGAGCTTACACAGAACCCTGGGACGCCACTCCTCAACCTCATCTCCACACATTCACTAGCAATAAGAACTTAATCAAGAATCTGACGCCCCACCTATAAAGGCATTCTGAGATTCCGAAATGATATCATCCAGAACAACCCTCAACCTTAATGCTAGAACTTTATCTATTAATTTATAAATGCAGCCCAACAAGCTAATAGGTCTAAAGTCCTTAACATCCGAAGCTCCCCCCTTCTTTGGAATAAGTGCAATGAACGATGCATTCAAAGAACTCTCAAACTTCCCCTGAATATGGAAGGCATGAAACGTAGACACCACCTCTCCCCTAACCACCTCCCAACTCTCCAATAGAAATCTCATAGTAAGACCATCCGGCCCCGGAGCTTTGTCCCCGTTACAACTCCTTAGCGCCTTCAGCACTTCCTCTTCAGAAAACTGAATCTCCAAACCATCTCTTTTAATTTCAGAAATAGCGTCAAAATGCAAACCATCAAGCCGGGGTCTCCATAAATAAGGCTCCATAAACAAACCCTGATAAAAAGAGACAATCCCCCTGCATACATCTTGCTCCCTAACCAAAACCTCCCCATCAATAGTAATCCTCCCAATGTGATTGCCTCTCCTATAAGCATTTGCAAGCCGATGAAAACACTTACTCTTCTTATCACCTTCTTTAAGCCATATGACTCTAGATTTTTGCCTCCAAGAGATTTCTTACGCCACTGCAATCTCAGCAATCTCCTTCTGGCACACATTTCTCCTACTTCTCTGACCCTCATCAATACCACCCACACTTTCCTGCCTATCAAGCTCAACAATCTCCGCAAAAGCCCTATTCTTCCTCCACTCTAGATTCCCAAACACCACCTTATTCCACCTTTTAATCTCATGTTTCAATCCCTTAAGCTTTTTTGCAAGAATAAAGCTCGGATTACCATCCACCCTGATACCCTCCCACCAAGTCCTCACAAATCCATGAAAATCCTCAGCCTGTAACCACATATTTTCAAAACGAAAAGGAGTACTCCTCATCCTCAATCCACCATAGTCTAAAACCACAGAAATATGATCAGATGTCAGTCTAGCCAAAGCTACCACGTCCAGAAACTTCTCTTCCCAGTCTCCTAAGAGAAGAAAACGATCCAGTCGGGACAAAGTAGAAGACACTCTACCACTCCCCCATGTAAACTTAGCTCTCTCCAGCGGTAAATCATGCAGGTGGTGACCGTCAATGAACTCAGAAAACTGCTCTATAGCTGGTGTCCATCTTCCTCTTGTTGATCTCTCCATCTGGGATCTGACAACACTAAAGTCCCCCCACACACACACACCCACCAAGGCAGACACCGCTACTCCTTCACTGCCCCCAACTCCAACTCCTCCCACAAAATGTGCCCCTCCCCATCCTCAACTGGGCATACACACTAGAAAAACGCATCCTCCTCCATGGAAAAAGCACACGAAATAGAAAACCTCCCTCTCCGCACCTCTGTTTTCAAAACCCATCTCCTATCCCACATAAACAAAATACCCCCAGACGTCCCCAAAGCATCCAACACCTCCCACTCAACAAACCTCCCCAACCCCACCCCCCCACCCCACCAACACACAAACTCCTCACAACCCTATCCATCATGGAAGCCATCTTTGTCTCTTGCAAACAAACCACATGCACACAGCACACCCCACTTCGTCACAGCCATCATCACCACTTCTCTTTTGTTCAGGTTATTAAGTCCTCGGACATTCCAAGAAATAATTCGGCACTTCAAGAACAAATGGATAATCCTTCCCCTTTCCTTCTCCCTCTGCCCCTTTCATGGCTCCTCTCCCTCCCAGCCCCATTGCTTCCCTCGTAATGCGAACCTCCCTTCCCCCTCTCCACGGAGTCAACCTCTTTTCCCTACTCCCTGTCTGTTTCTTGCTACCCCTCTCCTCCCCAGTCTTCCCCTCAACAATTGAATGCAAAACCATACTAGCCTCCTTCTCCTTTGGCTCAAAGGAAATCCCCAACAAACTACTCACACTATCAATATTCTCCTTTACCCATACCACCCCACTATCCCCATGAGCTGCAACAGCAAAACCCCCCAACTCCCCTTTTAAAACTACCAAGTTGTCCTTTCAACTTTAATATTATCAAGTTGAAAGATTCTTGAAAAGTTATAAGAGTAGTGATGCAAATATTGCATTTATTTTGCTTTGACTTTCAAAGGGACAAGTATTTTGCTGTTTTTTGAGGGACGCATTCCCCTTTTAAGCGCTTTTATTGAATTTTTTACTTATCAAAAAAAAAATGGGATAAATACTTTGGGACAATCCCAAAAGAAAAGATGGACTACTAATATGAGGTAGAGGGACTAAAACGACTACAAATTCCTTAGGGTGGGGTGTTTTTATTTATTTGGGGGGGGGGGGGGGAGACTTGAGAGCATTAACTGACAACTTGACAAGCAAACTTTTTTTTTTTTTGACAAGTGTATTAGAAAGCGTTCAAAACGGGAACGCATCCGAAGAACTATACAAAAAAAGGAGTCCTATGGACCCAAAAAAATCCACGATTTCATCTAAAGATGTACAATTTCTCCCCATCACCCAACTAAAAAGAGAACTAATAATAGAAAATATCAACGCTCTTTCCATCAAAAGATCTTCTATTCCGCACTTTCCAAAGACTCCACCAAATAAATAGGGGGGTCGCCCTCC